GGGGGGGGGGCCCGGGCCAGCCACTGGCAGCTGGAGACAGGCAGGAGCAGCCCTGATGGCATCGCACATCCGCTCAGCCACCACGGACACGGGCGATGGCGAGTCTTCAGGAACAGGAAGTCATGACCGGTAGACGAGACGGCCTCCACCTTCCTACTCTCTCCTCCAAGCAGTGTTGCTGCTCTTGGGATTTCCACAGGCCCGAGAGGAGGCCAGAAGGGGTGGCCTACAGCTGCTTCATCTCACGGTCTCACCTCCTGGCAGCGAGGTCCCTGCTGGGGTGGCACTAGAGTTTGGGTGGAATGGAGTCATTATGAGGAGATGCCTCAGTTTCTGGCTTAGGGTCCATGTGATATACCAGCTGTGGACTCAGGGACTAACCCGGAAACACCTGTGAGCTAGCACAGCAGCGATTTTGGAAAGCAGCTCTTTATATATATGAATTATATATATATATACACACACACATAAATAAGCTTTATATGTATATTTACATTCAATCACTGTGTATCATTACAGCATACCAAATGGAGTTTTCCATCATGACTTCACTGTATATTGGTTTGGTCAAAGATATTACCATACATATTATCATCAACAGATTCACTTTTTTCCCACTTTGGGTCCCTTGCATGTTTCCGTTCTCTCTTCTCCCCCTTCTCTCCCTCTTGCTCTCCCCATTCTCCACCCCCTCCTGCACTGTGCCCACTATCACCACTACCCCCCGAGCTTTCACACCTTCCAGTCACTCAGTTTCTGCCGCAGACTGCTGACGTTTGCTATATACGGAGCGGGGACATACAATGCCTCTCTTTCATAGTTTGGCTTGCTTCGCTCGGCAGTAAATCTTCCATATTTGTCCACTTTCTATCAAATGCCAGGGTTTTCTTGTTTTTTTAATGACTGAGTAGTATTCCTGGGAAGGAGCTCTTAGAGGGCTGAGTGTGAAGACAGGCTGGGCAGTGTCCAGCCCTGAGAAACTGGCTGGAGGTAGAGGCAAAATCCTAATGACAGCTGGCCAAAGGACAAAGAGGTGGTTGGCGGGAGCTGCTAGGGATGGCGGGCATCCAGGACCTACCAGCAGGAAAGGGAGACGTGAGGGCCTGCTGTGTAAGGCAGTGGCTGGGACTCTGGAGGGCAGGGGGAAGCCAGGGCTGGTCTCAGCCAGAAGAGACCCTCCTTCCGAGGCAGCAGAGAGGGCTGGGGATGAGTGTGGAGGTGAGCGCACGTTAGGTCTGGAGAGGGCAAAGGTGAGAACCCTTCTCTTCGCTTACTGGGGGTGAGATTATGGACTTGAGAGAGATGTGAAGGATTTAAACAGTCCATGTGGGGAAGGGTGAGCCGAAGGCTTGCTAAGTACTCCTGAGAGCCAGCTGGAGCAGAGTTCGAACCTCTGTACTGACCTTGATCTGCACAGAGGTCACAGCTCGGCCTGGGTGGCCCCAGCCAGGTCAGAGGGCTTTGCAGGACAGAGGACAGGTGGCAGCAAGGCCATGGCTGTCAGGTCTGGAGTGGGAGCAGCGCGTCGCCTGGACAGGAGGCAAAGAGAAAGAACAAGAGCCTGGAGCTCTGAGGGGAAGCCTGGATGGAGTGGGGGGAACCAGAACGAGTCAGGGAGGATGCCAGTGAGCCGCAGGGAAGCGAGTGCCTGAAGAGGTGGGCCAGAGAAGGTGGCCAGAGACACCAGGAACTGAGAAGCTGAGCTGCTGGCGGGGCACTCTGCGTGGACACTGGGGTTGCCCAGGATCAGCCAGGAGCTGCACTGGGGGCCTTGTGGAGAAGGACTGACCCAGGGTTATCAGACGACAGCAACAGAGAGCAGGAAGAGTAGGGGGTCGGGGCTGGGTGAGGGAAAGGCAGCGCGGGCTGGGCTGGGCTCTGCAGTCCGCCCACTGATTTGCCTGAGTGAAGTAGAATTATGACCTTAGTGAGTTTAGCATTTGCAGATCCTTCACGGGAGGCATGTTTGCAGAGCTTTTCATGGGATGTGTGATTTTGCAGAGTTGGG